AAAATTGTAAAGCAAGTGATATACAGTACTGTATTAAACCAAAAGTTAAAACGGCTGATGTTCAATATACTGTACTCTAATAAGTTCACAGTACAGGTACGTGTGCATCTAATTGCGGCAGATCTCAAAGATTATAATGTGTAAAAATTAGTTGGAATATATCTTCAAGGATCATGGGAAGATTACAAATACTTTACATTAAGTTATTCTAGCCAAGTTGCTTCCCTCTGATGGGTGGCCACAATAAAAGAGCCTCCTTCATGCTCATATCTCCAAAAAATTATACAAAACACATGAGCCTGTTGAATGAGGTTTAAACTGACAGAGAAGGAGTGGAATGAACAAAAAATTAAGTAAAATTACTCAAAATACAGTAATAACAATTGCGCACATAAACAGAATTTTCCTGCCTGTATACAGTTTGATTCAATGATTTCAGTCACTTGGACCCACCTGACAAACTGAGGGTTTTGGCTTTATTACTATAAAAGTAATAATGTAATTACCAGAAATTACCCGTATGCATTTATTGACAAGATATAATATGCAACAACGAGTACCTTACAAAAGAAACCATCTTCAAAAAAGGCTGAGCCAGTAGAACTAATTTTACTGTAGAGAAAGGGATCAGTCCAAATGCCCTAAAGTCTCCACCAGATGAACCTGTGAATACATTCTACCAAAATGCTCATGAATGTACTGAAGTAGAGAAAATTTTAGGTTTTTCATTAATGCAATGGTTGAAATGCAAATCATCAGGCTTTACATTTACAGTACAACTAATACTGAAAATATGAAGGATTAATCCTGAAATCTCACTTTATAACAAAGTATGAACTAGGTAGTTTATGAAGTCAACAAAGCTATAGTGTGACAACCATGGTTCTCAAGACCCTTACATGTTTGATTGGAACCATAATCCATAAATTGCATTCCCTTAAAATTCGCAGGGGTTAGGTTCTCAAAATGGCCACAAATGGCCAAATCTACGAATAACATTGGCTGACCAGGGGTAAGGGGTACATTTTTACTCTTGTGCAAAGAAATGTATATTTTCTTTATGAGTTTGCCCTTTGGACAATTATTTCTTTTACCTGTATTGTATATATGTATGCATGTGTCGACACTGTGTAGACACACACATACAAATAAATAATAATGGGAAAATCCTCTCACAAATAATTAGAAACAAGACAACAAAAATTTATTAAAAATGTGAGAGTCCACCCTCAAGTCAACACCGTGCTTTGTGATTAAAGTTATAAGAAAGCACGGAGTTGACTTGAGGGTACACTAATATATTTTATACATTTTGTTGTCTTGTTTCTGATTATTTGTGAGAGGATTTTCTCATTATTTATCATTTGTATGTGTTTTGTGTTTCTGTGTGTGTGTGTGTGTGTCTACAAACACACACACACACACATATACAATACAGGTAAAAGAAATTACTGTCCCTATAATGAATGGCTCCCTGTCCTGGCTGCAAAAATGCGAGCAACTTTAAAACTACCCTTAGACATTCTTGGGTACATCCAGGGTGTCATCCGCGAATAATTAATCGAGGTCCGCGAATTAATAATTCCCGAATTGTCAAGGCATGCTGTACCTGTATTTTCTAACAGTAGCCCCAACAAAGGGGGTATTGGAGATATGAGTTGCCAAATAAGCATAAGCTAAGAGTCTCCACCTGCCACCCTAACACACATTCACTTCATGACCCATGTTGCCATTAGTTACCAAGGCAACACAACAACCACCAACCATCTCTGGATCCTATAGTGAGGGGTGAATTTAAACATAGATGACCTTCTGGAATTTGGGGACTCTTAGCACCAGTCAGAGACTAGTAGGCTGTAATGAGTTACCCAAGCCACTGCACAAGTTAAAAAATCTATGAGCAGATATATTTATGGGCATGACTCCTGGCCAAAAAATTACAATGTTAACTCATACCCGTACAATGGAAATGCACTGTGTAAATGATATTTGTAATACTGTACAACAAAACATGTTTGATACCTGTATGTATCATGTGTACTGGTTCCTACATACAATGTAAATATACACACACTATTCTCCCAAACATTCAAATTACTGACCAAATACCGTAAATACAGTACACTCGTATATGTTTTGGTGTGGATTTCATACATAACTTCCACACATTCATACAACTACAGTGCTTTAAAAAGCTCTGTCTTAAAATTATTTAACAATATCAATACATGTTCCTTCATTCATTTTGGTTAGTAATTTACAATATTCTGTATTTCAAAGTTTCTCTACTACAATACTGTTTATGGTTTGGGGTAACTGTTTTGCCGCCACATATGTACTTGAGAATGGAGTAATTATATACTGTATATATATATATATATATATATATATATATATATATATATATATATATATATATATATATATATATATATATATATATATATATATATATATATATATATATATATATATATATATATATATATATATATATATATATATATATATATATATATATTTTGTAATGGGGGTTTGATCTACAGTGACACTCATTAACCCTTGACACAATATTGAAGTAACAAAACGCTTAAATACGGAAAAAATGTTGGACGGATCTTTTCACCCAACATTCTGCAACCCTGAGTATCTTATACAGTACTGGATACGCAGTATATGAGCATATTATAATTGTACTGACAAGCTTCGGTGAATGAGGGTTATGGACACATAAAAATCAACAAAATGTCTTCGACAACTTTGTGGAACCATAAAAAAGTGTGACTGTGGCTAAATATTTAACACACAAGTACAAAAATACTGTGTTGTGGGAATGGAAAAGTTTGATATGGAAGATCTGATAATTTTTATTTATTTATTTATTTTTTATTATTCTTTTTAAAATTAGTTGCTACAGTTGGCCACCAAATTTCAGGCAATTAATGGTCCGGAACCACTGATGGTCTGGAAAGTTTTACAGTGCTGGAATTTCAAATTTACCGTGCATTTATGGTGAACTATAGCTGCCCGGGACATGCTTGTAGGAGGCTAACCTTACCGGGCTGTGAGGTGTTATGGTTATTTTTTAACTCATAATATCAGATTGTACATAAAATCTTTGATACAGAATGTGCAAAAACAAACTTATCATAAAGTAAAAAACATAAAAGAAAATAAACTTTCTTTGTGTTAAGAGTTCACGCTAAGTGGGGAGGGTGGTGTGGGGGATCTCACCTGTCTCTTGCGTGTAGTCAAATGATTAACAAATTTCTTTGTCCAGCAGCCAAATGGGAAGAGCGCTAAGATTTTTGTATTAATTAATTTATTATTATTATATTGACTTATTCCTCACATTTACTAGTAATTTTATATTATCTTATTCCTCATAGGAGTAGGTAACTGGCAGGAAATCAGTTTCACAGTTGGTAAAACTGTTTATAGTGTCAGCAGTTGTGGTGGTGTCATGGCCAAGACTCGTTGGTGTGAATCTGGTGTGCTGTTACAAATTATGTCTAAGATTTTAACTATAACTGAGCGGTTCGGAAAAGTAAATTATTATTATTATTATTATTATTATTATTATTAATATTATTATTATTATAGGAATATACAGTATTAAGAAATGGATTAGGATGCAGTATTACATTTATTTATTACTGTATTATTTACTTTATTATTACTGTATATACATTTACCAAATATTTTTGTTTGCACAGTAATTATAAATAGATTATTTCACGTGGCAGCCAAGGGAATGCGCAAAAACTGGACAGAAGACAAATGAATAATTGAACACAAAAATGTCATAAATTTTCGAATGTTAGTCAAAATATATATTCCGAAATCGGTAATTTGAATTTTTCGGTAATTAGAGTGCCCCAGAGCCCTTCTGTGCTAATTAACGAACGTATAGTGTGCATTGATGTCCCAAGTTGAAGAAGATAATCCAGACAGTCCCCCAGGTCCAGAAATATAATCAGCGTAAGTAATACAGCAGTTTATGTAAGTAAACAATAAACTTCCATATACCCTACACCGGCTTTTCATTTAGTAATTGCTTATGCTATGTCATATTGATTTTCTAGCAGCCAAGAGGTTTTCAGAGTTAGAGCATACGGTAGGTTTCGGGAGTGGTAGCTCCAAGGCCATGACCACCCATGGTTCGTTAAAATTGCTGTTCCGGCATCAATGGTGTCAGCAAATCAGTGGTCGACCTGTAAAACCAGGTCATAGCAAGCAGGTTTGCATCTAACAGGTTTTATTATGAAATTAACTGGCACATGTAGCCATTGCATTACACCTTTGACCCCCTGCAGTTACTCCAAAAAGCCAAATATTACTTGACTTATTTAGATGAAGTCTTCATCCAAATAATAATCTCCTACAAGTTACAAATAATCATCTAAACACAGGCAAGCTTACATGTTAGTAGATTTCACGGGTGAAGTTTCTATGTTAAAACAATGAATAATTTCTGAGAATCTTTTCAGTCAAGCACAATTTTCACAAACTCACTGTGAAATGAGACATACATGACCCAGATATCAAATACAGTACCAAGAAACACACAATCATTACCATCACACATGAAAATAAAAAACTTAAAAGAATGAAAGATATATGGTAAGACCATACAACATTTCTTACAAATTACCTTTAAATCTTGAAATTGTTCAATTGAGTCATACTTTCAAAGTATATCTCGACATATAAAGGACACTGTCTAGATTTCTTTATGTGTTCATGATCTCTGGCTTTATATATATATATATATATATATATATATATATATATATATATATATATATATATATATATATATATATATATATATATATATATATATATATATATATATATATATATATATATATATATATATATATATATATATATATATATATATATATATATATATATATATATATATATATATATCATGTAGTGTAACTGATAGTGTAGTGCTGTATTGTAGGTGATAGTGTAGTGATGTAGTGTAACTGATAGTGTAGTGCTGTATTGTAGGTGATAGTGTAGTGATGTAGTGTAACTGATAGTGTAGTGCTGTATTGTAGGTGATAGGGTAGTGATGTAGTGTAGGTGATAGTCTAGTCACAGACAGAGACCACGAGCTGCCCTTAAAACACACTCACACAGTACCAGGTTCTCCAGCTAGTATAGTATATCACAAAACTGAATGCCAGTAAATACATTGATAAATTCACTCCATCCATATATGAACTAATAAATTAAATTATTCATATTTACAGGTGTTTATGACTTAAAAATATAAAACAATTTTACAATGTACTTTTTGTACTGAATAAAGCGGATCTTCTAAATTTAACCAACTTTTTGCAGTGTCAGAGTTTGGGAACCTTACCTTTTGTAAAAACTGCTAATGTTCTGATGCTTACTTTTCTGAAATAACCAATTTTGTTATCAGCTATTATTATTCTCATGGTGCATCAAAAAATACTAATTTATTTTCATAATTCAGAAAATCCAATTTCAGCAGCTTTTTTAAGCCTCCCTCTCTTTAATTTCTCACCTGGCTATGTGAATTGGTAGAGCAGGTGGAAACAGGACTAGAAGATGATATGAGGATGACTGCAGCACGTACACCTTGTAGCTATCAGTGGAGATGTATGACTCGAGGGGTGTATGATCTGGATGCAGCTGTATGTGCAGGAAATAATTTTGTCTTAATTATTACTGGATTTATTTATTTTTATCATGAGCCATAAATGACAATCAAAAGGAAAATGGAATTAAAAACAGATGCACAGTAATATTAAAAGCTGTGTCACTTCATAAAATGTTCTACAAGGATAATAATCACACCCTGCTTTCTTTGCTAACACAATCAGCAACAAAATTTTTATGAGCACAAGATCAATCATAATATCATAATTGAACAAAGTATAATAAACAACTCATCAATCACAGTTTAATGCATCAATATAGAACCAATTGTTCTGAATCAACTTTAATCACAAAAGTCAACTACAACCTATTAATGTAAAGGAGATAAAGTCACATTCACAGGTGTGTGTACATTTCATCTCCAGGTGTCATATGAAGTCCAGGGCAGTGTACACTGAACCTTTTGTTTTGTTATTAAAAACTGATGACAATTATATTTACACACAGTACGATTGCATAAATATTTCCTATAACTTATGAAATGTTCAGCTTGTATTAAATGTATTTATGCATATCTGTTAGGTTATGGTGGTCCAATGAGGTAAAGGAGGGCCACTCATGCAGTTCATTGAGATGAATTAAGGCCACTCATGTAACCCAATTACTAACTTAGGTTGCCCATCACTGCTCTATAGTGTCATTTATTTCCTCCAGAATACTGTACTGTACTTAAAACTTATGTAGCTTTCTCTCCGAGCCCAACTAGGGATCCGTCACCATGACACAAAGTATCATATACAGTACGGTGCTCATTTAAAGTTCCATAATTGCCCATCACATACAAACCAATAGGTACACACCAGTAAATCAAACACAGCTTCTGTTTACTCACACATACAAATACTGTAGTACTTTCTAGCACAGTAGCTTGCATTTCTTTATAATACTCTTTTATATTAAATGCATGATGACTCTCATGGACAAACCCAAGAAATATTTACTCGTGATGGAAAATCCTCTGGAGGTATAGCAGGAGGCTGAAGTAATGATCCAACAACACTTCGGTAAACAGAGCGCAATGCAGCCGTCTTCTTGGCAACACTTAAACATCTAGATCTTGTCTCTTCACTAAGGTGCACACAGCTCACACATTTTTTGTGGTCGTAGTTGACTAGAATGAGCCTGTGGAATTTTAGGGTTGGAAATAACAGAAGCAATAATTTTACAGAGTCCAGTAACCATTACCCACAATAGCTTGAGATTTTTTCTATATCTTCATACAAGTACACCCTATGCTACAGCATCAAGTCCCAAGCTAAATATCAAAACATCTAAAAATCCTCTCCCATGACAAAGAAGGACTCCAGAACTACAGGAACCAGATTCTTCAAAATAAAAGTTATCCAATGTTAAAATTTAACTAAAGAAAGTTAAAGTTAATCTAAGAATACCAGAATACAGTACAGTAAAATGACATAAATTTGCAGAAACATAAAAATAAGGCCAAACACCACAAGCACTTAAACATATTACCCTATGACAGCATTATCAAGCTGGGACAGAAGACTTGGCATAATATTCCATGGTAACAAAGTGGTAAGTGTCTCCAAGACTTGGTATGATGGGGCCCAAAATGATGAGGCTGCACGAATCATTTCTGACAGAGTGGGTGTTGGGCCACAGAGAGTTACCACTGATATATGACCTGTTAGTCGTACCACCAGCATTCTGAACGGTACCTGAAACACATTTTAACCTAGTTACCATTACATTAATTGGCAATTTTTTCTTCTCTAACATGTACTGAATTCAACAGTATGACTACAAGAAAAAGACCAAAATAACTAAAGACAACCATGTTATGAAATACAGTAAGGTCCCACTGAAGGGCAATTCAGTTTAACAATCATCAAGTTTTAAAGTAAAAAAAAAAAAAAAAAAGTGAACATCCGGCATTCAATTTAACCAGAAAAATTCAGTTCACATTATCATGTGGAAATTGGGGCTAATTCAGAAAGGCTAGAGCCCATAACTTGTTGAATTACCGAGGGAGGGAGGGCTCAGCTAAATCATGTGGGAGAGTATATACAGTACCCAACTTGTCAGATGTAAATAGTAATACTGTACTGTAACTCACATTAGGACTTTTATTAGGGAGGTAGATGGGTAAGTCACGTGCTACAGTGAATATGTTGGTAGCCACCAGCAGAGGGAGGAGAACCAGCTCTGTGTGAGACAATGACCAAAAGTTGCGAGTCCCACACAAAATATATCCCTGCAGCATCACACACCCGTATGTTGAGTCTGCTCCTTCAGCAAATTTTTCAAGTTCACTCTGGAAAGAGGGAAGGTAAAATAAGAAATATAAAAACAAATGGAAATAACAATGCATTTTATTTAATAGATATACAATACTGTAATACCTTCATCAAGAAAATAAAAATATTAGTTGAAGACATTCTCATATACACACAATCAACATCAGCAACCCTGAACTGGGCCAACAGTGAACAAATAACCAGGATGACCCACAGGGGACTAATTAACTGAAAACTTTAACCATTAGATTATCTTAAATACATTAAAAGTAAAAACTGAACATGGTAAATCCATATAAAACAATCATTAGAAATTGACATTACAAAATTCTTTTGTGGAGCCTATAATGCCCCACCTGTCACCCATACATTCAATATAACATTAACTATTCCCCTAAAATAACATCTTATATCTTACTTGAGACATGCCCATATGACCTGATAAATAGATAATTTGAGCACATAAAACTTATTAAAGTGTACAGACACACCTAGACCTCAACAAAGTATGCAAGCACAGATATACATATACAATCACAAAACCAAATACATATATACAAACACAATAAAAAAGTAAACTACTGTAGTACAGTACCGGTACATACACAGAATTTTTATGCATACAGACAATGAAGCAGAGAATACTTGTACTGTATAGTGTATTCAGAGACATAGGCAGGCACATACGAGTACTGAGTAACATGTACAAAAAATGCACACACGAGAATAAAACTGAGAACACCAGGATTTATTAAGGCGGTACAAACATATTATGACGTGTAAGCTTGGCAAAAAAGAGCAAATAGTATTGTTTCTAGATGAATAATATGGCTGGATGTGGGGAAGACCAAGCTGGTGATTGAAGGAGTTGGTCAGGGAAGTGCTAGTAGTGGGGTGAATGGACACCCTGAACACAGCAGTGTATGTAGATGTGTGGAGTGCATGCCATCGGGTCACTTTTGAGGATGAAGGTGCTACTGACGGGTGAACTTAGGTCGTGTCAAGTCATAGGTATAAGCCAAATATATGTAAGAGTACTTGTTATGAAAGGAGAAATACCATAGCAGAAAACATAAGTTACAGCAGTAAGAGTGAATATATGACTGACTGTCTGTGTTTGCTTATGCTTCCAGCCACCCTCAAATATGAAGAAATAACAAAATAAAATGATAAAAGAGGAAATAAAAATTATGCATTGAGAAGTATTCATACTCATATACGCTCACATCAGTGGCATATTCTTAATGAATGCAAGCATGCATTGCATGCCTAGTGGAAAGCAAAATATATTTTTAAATAGTATCTTCAATAAATTTTTTTTATCATATTCGCCTCTTATCAGCTTAGTAGCCGTTTGGGTGGTTTAACCACAATAATGTTCATTTTAGCATGTTATTTATAGGATGGTTACGTCTATATGTCCATTGAGGGCATGCGGCTTATCTTTCTGCATGCACTTCGAAAACTGCATTTACTTGTCGAGAGGCTATGTAGACCGGCAGCGGCTCTCCGTCAGCTGAACAAAACTGGCCCACATTATTAGTTTTAATATTTCTAAATGACCCAACAGTTCATTTCCAGTTATAATTTTTTTTCACTTGGGAAAGTTATTCAGTTTTCTATTTTACTTGAAATAACAATTGGATCACATAAATAAAAGCTATTTGCTAATTATGTATTTAAATGTCGGCAATAAGATCACTGACAACTTTACAGAGGGCCAGCAGTGTGCAGGATGCCAAGTCTTATTTCTAAATTACTGTAGATAACACTGAAAGCTTAATATTCTTTTGCCGCAAGTATTTTTGCTCCTATTATTTAAGGATTTATAATAGATACTTTGTCAAATGCCACTGATATAATTTAAGAAATCAGGTGTTTATAAAAGCTTGACAACCCTAATTTAGACATATTTGATATTTGATTTGATAACGGATATATGTGGGTGTTCTGCAAAACCACGGTATGCCACTAGCTCAGGTACATACATAGCCTCCCATATAGCCACAAGTATACACACACAAGTAACAATTCCTGCATACAAACCCACACAAAGACGTTTCTATATACTGTATATAACAGACCAATAACTGGTGACCTCAGCAGGACGCACCTTTCATGTTCGTTAATATTATATATTTATCATTCTTCACTTTCCTCTAGTGGTCATATGAGATATTCATGATGGCATTTCATTAAATTATCACAAACTGTAAGAGATGAAAAAAGTCTGGGGATACATTGTAAATAGGCTATGATCTTTATAAATAACTTACATAATACATTTTATCATAATGACATCGCATACGGAGTAAGTATTGTTTCAATGATACTATCTCAATAACAACAATAAAAAAATCACAACCAATACTGTATCTGTCTTGACTAACTCAGTGTGTTAAAGATTTCTAAACAAAGTCTCCGGTAAATGTAAATGGATCGCAGGACAATTTTAAATCTAAAAAAATACAAATAATTTAAAATTTTAAACTCCCAGAGGTCCTCAAGTGGAATGAACTCAAAAGTTTGTAATTCTGTAGACCATTTCCCTTGCATTTCAGATCCACTGAAGGAATAAAATCCACAATCCAGATCAGGCACATCCATTTACACCAAAAATTACTATGGAGTCATTCATAAGCCTGTGAACAATAGCAGATCTAAAATCCTCCATAGCTGAAAAGCAGTACCAAGTTAACTAGAAAAAGAAATCATTGAATTTCAAAAAACAGATTTTCAGTTTTGTGTCAAGGCCAAGAAAGGGGTCTCAAACTCAAGAGGCTAGATCTGAATGCTGCTGGAGTACAGAACTGAGGCTACCCCTCTTCTCGAGGGAAGGATCAATTTATTCTTTTAGACTGTCCCACTACATACATAACCATTAAGAACTGAAACTAGGTGAAAATCTAGACTTTACCTTAATTGAAAAAAAAATAAATAAAAATAGCAAAGAATTTTTTTTTATTAAATTACAAAGAGGCTGGAAAACCAGCTTTTTTGAAGTGAGACATTGTATAAGTATGGAAACACAGACGAAGGCAGAGCATTCCACAGTTTGGCTGTGTGAGGAAAGAAGGAGGTACTATAACGGGTTATTCTAGTGTGACTGACATCCACAGAGAAACGGTGGGCACCTCGGGCAAGACAAGTGTTACGAGCCCACGGCCTTGCCGGCGGCACACAGGATGCCAAATCCACTGAACATTGCCTGTTAAAGTACCTATAAAAGAGAGAGAGTGAAGCAACATTGCGGCAAAGAGAAAGGGAAGAAAGATTATCAACTTAAGGAAGAGAGTTGATAAGACGAAATGCCTTTGATTCCACCCTATCTAACAGTTGGACAGAAGAGGAGCCACCCCAGATATGAGAGCAGTACTCCAAGTTAGGACGAATGAATCCCTAATAAGCTTGAGGCTACTGTTCAGGAGTGAAGTAGCTACGGCATCTGTACAGCATTTCCAGCTTTCGGGAGGCAGCTTTAATAATGTTGTGGATGTGTGACTTCCATGACAGAGGAAATAGTGAGGCCTAGCATATCTATTTTAGAATTTGGCAGAATGATTTCATCCTGAAATGTGATTGGTGGGAGATCATCTAATTTGGAAAGTGTAATTGGTAAATACAGTGTGTTTTATTACTATTGAATTTAACCAAGTTTCTACCTCCCCATTCGGAGATGCTGCACAGATCCACATTGATAAATGAAATGGTATCAGCTCTAGAAACAGATTGAGTTTGAGAATTAGGGGGAAGGGAAAAATGTGAAGAAGGGTGAAAAGTAGAATCATCAGCATAAGAATGGGACGGGGTTCCGTCCCAACGACCAGGTCATAAGTCAGTTTGGTCGTAAGTCGAAAATGCGAAAATAATACATAAAAATTCTAAAATGGATGTCTCTTTTTCTTCTCAGCACCACAAGAACTCTCACTTTTACGCTTGCCAGCCATTTTATAGGAATTAAAAAAAAAAAAACATTTCAGTACACAGCACGATCGCTAACGTCGGGACTCGAAAATACATACCCGGTAATGTGAAAAATATTTTATATGACAGTGGCCGTCGTATGTCCGGGTTGTCGTAAGTCGAGGAGAGACTGTAGTATATATTATAAGTTGCATCCTTGTATGAACTTTACCAAACAATTTACAGTACTTAAGAGCAGCATTCAGTTTACCATGCTGATACTACCAAGATCTACTTCAATCTTGGCTAACACATCCATTAAGTGTCCACATGAGGCTGACACTTAACATTTTAATAAAATGAAAAAATAGTTAAAAAATACTGTACAGGGTAGTATATTGTAAAATTACCATTCAGTCCTATTCAATCATGAAATTCATTATCAATACAAAATAAATGCGAGAATCTGACCTGTAATGAATGTTGCTCTGGAGGAATAAGGCACTCTGCACAGCCCGTTAAGTGGGAAAACCCCTGATGATCCTCACTACCTATGGCTCGGGACAGTAATTCATCCAGCAATACATAACATGGCTAAAATGAGAAACATGCCAAATTACAACTCGCTGCTCACTATTACATCTAAATTGCAGTACATTTATATTTATCAATCCAAATACATGTCATTTCTTGATGAGTGCAGTCCCCATTCACGATACTATACCCTTTCCATGCTAACCTGGCCCATAAGCCATGCCCCTCTTCTATACAAATAGCTGATTGGTTCGTAGAAAATTCAAACTAAATGTGTTCACAACTGGTAAGCAGACTTGTTATTATCTAAAATAATGTTAAATATCTGAACTATCAAAATGCAAGTGATTTTAAGGCACGAGCACTTCAGAGAGGATATTAGAAATTTTTTTAAATATTATCAAATAAGGTCGATATAAATACAGTGGTCCCTCCATTAATGAGCACAATTGGTTCCACAGTCACTCGTTAACTGAATCTATTACTTCAATGGGATATTGGGTAATTGGTTCCAACTCACAGAATTCCCTTTAAATTAATAAAAAAGTACATACAAAGTACTGTATACCGGTAATATAATTAACAAAACATTAAATATAAACAATATACAGTACTGTACAGTGTACTGTACAATAATAAATAAAACACATGCTTGATAATTTCGCCAATAAAATTTTAAGCTCACAACAATTTATTTAACTAATTCCAGATTTCTTATTTAAACCAACACTAAACTGTATATTATCAATGTGTTAACTAAATTTCAGAATGACCAATAATTTTAACGTAAAAATGCAAAAATGTTCAAAAGCACAAGTTTCTCGATGTTCACTCCACTAGAAAAAAAGGTAAGCAGAAAACCGATTATTGGTGCGCATCAGCTGATCGGTCGATCAGCTGATGCATGCACCAAAACACATTTCTTGTAAGGCTGCCGTTAATAGAATTTGTACTCATTAATAGAACTGATAGTCCTTGCGGGAGGTAACTCGTTGATTGAAATCCCGTAGGTTGAACCGCTCGTTAATGGAGGGTCCACTGTACGCACTTATGCACATACAGTCCAGGGAGGTAAAACGCTCAGGGGAACCAATCAGCTATTTGTAGCTATAGACGAGGGGCGTGGCTTATGGGCCAGCTTAGCATGGAAACACAATAATTTATCTCTCCATTAAATATGAGGTGCTGCAGATGACAACAAGACGAACAACAAAACAGCATGAGATGTAAAGTTATCATATCCTTACATAGTACTTTTCAAAACTACTAAACTTTAACTTCGTACATTTAATTTTTTGCCACTCGTTTACTTCTCGCCCACAGTTCCTCATATTTCTGAAGCATTGATCCTGATAACCTACCCTGATATCCCTCTTTAGTCTTTCCACATTGGTTGATGTAGTTAGGGTGTCCAGACCAAGAAGAAGAACTAGAGAGGCAAACATCAAATCTAGAAGTAAGCCGTCACATCTGTCTCCAACAGTCTCACTTCCTCGAATTAAAACTAGCCGAATGCTGTAAGAAATAACCATAATACAATTTCAAGTTATTTAGTATACGTACCTGTACAGTGTAGGTGTACCCAGATAACTGACGCATATGGATCGGGAAAAGTCGTTGGTTCGTGAATCAATGGTTATTTAAGCATTTAATCCCATAATAACTTAACAAATTCAGGGATTTAAACCCATAAGAACATAACAAATTCAGGGGGTTAGGGAATGGCCACCCTCCAAAACTCCCACCTACCCTTGATATATCTTTGTCGTGCACACTGTGAAGCAAGAAAATAAAGCAAGCACATTAAGCCTTAAATGAGCAATGTAAAGCATAAACTGACACTTATTTACTTGTGTTGAGGATGGTAGAGATGGTCTAGGGTGGCAAGTTCAATCTCTACCAATCTTTGCTGATCCATCATTACTCTTATTATGCCTTATCACATCACATCAAGTTGCCCCTAAGAGTGGCAGCACAAGAGAAACCATCACAAAGACAGAGATACGTGGCATGTTTAAACAAGAGCAAAGATGGTGGGAATGAGTCAGAGGCGGAGTGCAGAGAACTATCGTGGCATGAATTCACACCATACCACAACTCACCAAATTCAAAACAGCTTTGCAGCTCCTCTCCCGATCGTTAGATCTCCGGGGCATCACCGAAACTTATGGGGTATTTCCACAATATGTAATCGTAGGTTATTGAGGCATCGGTTTTCTGGGTATACCTATACAGCATTGAGATCATATGAACATTGGCCCCAAGAGTTCTTCACCTCGAATCTTTGGTTCTATGACCAATATTAATTTCAAAAGTAATGTAAACCAAGGTATTAGGCTATTTATTCAATTACTCAATCAGACAATAATTATTTAAGAAAGTCTCTCTTACTTCTGGCAAATGTATTCCACATAGGAGAAACTTCTGGTACCTGTTGGTAGTGAAGGAAACTTGACTAAGAGATGGAGCTTTATTCCTGATGTTTCATCTTGTGATGAAACGTCAGGAATAAAACTCCTCCTTTTAGTTGTGTTTCCTTCACTACCACACTACCAACTCTCAATTTATAAAAAGACACTACAGTAAACCCATCCCATTTGCGGGTTTACAATTCGCGATTTTAATGATTCGCGGTAAGAAGCTGGTGGCTCGGGTGGCTAGCATGCGAGCCTCCTCCCTCAGCACAACGAGTCACCCCACTCGCCCGCAGTGTCTCATCTCGCTCTGTTTGCCCTCACCCTGTACCCATGACCAAGCATCTCGTGTCATACTCTCAAAACTTTTGTTTCTTTGTGAAAATGGTCCCGAAAAGACTGCTTAGTGTCAGTGCTAGTGATGCTAGTGGAGTGAAACATAAAAGGCAAAAGTCAGTGATGATCTGACAAAGAAAGTTGAATTATTAGACAAGTTAAAGGAGGGGATGAGTGCTACCGTGGTTGGTCGGTTGTTTGGTGTTAACGAATCCACAGTGTGGTTCATAAGAAAGAATGAACAAGCAATTCATGATTCTGCTCAAGCAAGTGCTCCTGCAAGTGTTAAAGTGGCTCAGGTTGTTCATGACAAGAGCATAGTGAAAAATGAGAAAGCTCCAGACTTCCCCATTCGAATGTAAGTACAGTATTGTGACTTAAGTTTCTCATACACAGTATAGGTAAACCTGTATATTAGTGCACTAAGGTATTATATAAGTGGCTATTCGCAGTTTTGCCAATTCGCACCATTTCTTGGAACCTATCCCTCGCGAATGGTAAGGGTTTACTGTATTTAATGAATCTTTGTTATTTAAAGAATGCAACCAACACCATTTTCTTTACTTTGTTATTTACAAAGTAAAACTGAGTTTATGGAAGCAAAATATGACATAGCCAGGGAAGAAAATTTAACCTAACTCAAGGGAAGAAAATTTAAGTTTTTAGGAATCTGCAGTTTTCTGAAACCCGGCTTCGAGGGTGTACAGCTTGGGTTAGCAACCCCTGGCACGCATGCCACGCAAAAGGGTTGAGCATGGCACGCGAAATTATTTTAAAAATATATTACAAAATTTAAAAATAATAGTGCCATTTCAAATAAACAAACTGTGACATGAGCTCGAGCTAGAACTCATGCATCCAGTACCCGTCCACTCAGCTGTAGCCTGTGTTGCATCAGAGCCAGTGTTGCCATTTTAGCTACACAAAATAAGTAGCTCGCCTTGTGTTCTTTTTCTCAAATATTTTCTATATTTAAGAAATTGAGGACAATTTTGTTTTATTATTTTGAATATGTATTTACATCAGTTTTATTAAAATTACACAATCATCTTTCTATTAGTATTCAAGCTACCAGATTATTTATTTGTGGGAGTTTCTATTTCTAGGTGGTAACACTGGTTACTCAGACCGTCAGGCATGGTCAGTGTACTTTCAGCTGCGGTGACAGAAGCTACTCATAATTAAGTAGCCACATTGGCAGCTGCCAAGAAAGCCAAATTAAACGTTCGATCGTTTCAACCCTCTTGGACAAAAGACTTTGGATTTATTCTAAAGAATGGTCGAGCTGTGCGTGCTCTGTGTTGTGAGAATGTTGTTTGCCGGACATCAAGTGTAAAGAGACATTATGAAACGAAGTATGAGAAGACATTTAAGGACAATGCATACAAGGCTGAAGCAATTAAGAAGGCAGTATCCCGCAAAGAAAAACAAACAGCGTTATGAAGAATCTGAGTGCAAACAAAGATCATGCAACTGAGGCCAACTACAAAGTTTCTCTCTGTATTGCTAAACATGGAAAATCATTAGTTGATGGGGATTATATAAAGGAGGACTTTCTCAACAGCTCTCACGTTTTATTTAGTGATTTACCAAACAAACACAATCATCTCAAGGATAAAAGACATGCCTGTTGCAGCCAGGACTGTAGAGAGGCACATATCAAGACATGGCGGCAAATATAAAAGAACAGCAAACTATTGCATTAACAAGTGCAAATGTGTTCAGTATTGCTTTTGATGTGTTGATATAAATGACATACCAAGTTTGGTTATTGTAGCCAGGTACAGTGACACGGAGATACACGAGGAGCTGTGCTGCTTAAGACCTATGCATGGTACTGCCAAGGTAGATCACATTGTTAAAATGTTCATTGATCATTTTGAGGAGAGAGGGGTTGATATTAAAAAAAAAATATTTGCAGTTACAACGGATGGCACTCCTGCTTTGGTAGTAAAACAGGGAATTTGTCAAGCTAATTGAGGATAAAATCGGGCACTGCATTATTCATCAAGAAAATCTGTGAGCCAGAATTTCAAACTCTGATCTCAATAAAGTAATGGCCACTGTGACAAAAGGTTTGAATTTTATGGTTGCACGATCTTCTCTTACACACAGACAATTCCAGTCTTTTCTTGATGAGATGAAAAGTGCATACCTTATGGAGGCATACCCCCTTTACTCATGTTAGGTGGTTAAATTGCGGGAAGGTTTTAGAACGGTTCATGGAATGCTTTGATGAAATCAGGATCTATCTGAAAGAAAAGGGCCAAAAATACCCATAACTGGAAGATGACCAATGGGTAGTGAAACTTATGTTTCTCTCAGACATCACCAAACACCTCAGTGATGTTAATCTTTGCCTGCAGGACAAACAGTTGTGGATCTGTATGACACTTGGAAGGCTTTTGTTGCAAATCTGGCAGTTTACTTTGTGAATATTAAAATTACAACTTTCCACTACTTCAAGCACCAGAAGGGGTTGTCAGCACATCATTCTATGATGTTACAGAAATTGCAGTGTACATGCAAGAACTGAAGTCATAGTCCTCACTCAGATTTCAAGATTTCCAGCACATTGGCCCAATGTTTTTCTTTTTAATTAAACCTGAAAACTTTGAGGAGAGTGACTTGGACTCGTCTTTATTTGAGTGGATGGAAATTGGGGACCTGGAGATGCAGCTGATCGATTTTAAGTCGTCTTCATTATAGGTAGTAAAGTTTATGGAACTACGTAAATCACTTGAAACGACTGTGAGTGATCATGAGGCCTCCATCCTAAGCTGCTGGGCATCCCTACCAGAGAAATTTGATTTCTTGATGAAGGTTACCTTCAAACTGCTTTCAACCTTTGGATAGACATATCTATGTGAGCAGATATTTTCACACAGGAATAATATCCTCAATCCTCAACGGAGCCGACTTACAACTGATCACTCCAAGGGGTGTGTGCAACATAAGATGTCCAGATATACTCCCGATATAGCAACGCTGAGCAAGAGGAAGCAGGGACAGGGATCACACTAAAATGGTGAGAGCATTTTATAGTATTTGATTATATATTTTACCATTCATATGCAATTGTGTGTACTGTATTTCAAATACCATGTATGACAGCATTATTCATCAATATACACTTGACAATAATTTGCACATTGAAAATTATAGTTGGCAGTAGGGAAGTAGAAATGTTAAAAACTGGCACAGTATGTTTAAAAGGTTGCCGACCCCTGGTGTACAGTACGTACAGTAATATCTCTGATAGCCGGAATCCCTCAAACCCGAAACTCTCCGATAGCCAAAATTGAAATTTTCTGAGGGGCACATTTTCTGGAAAATTCTGAGAAAATTTTCCCGGTACCCGTAAAATTCCGGGGATGTGGGATTTTTTTCCGGGTTTGAGAGATGATATAATGGGCAGTTTCTGAAACTTCCGATAAAATTTTTCCGGTACTCGGAAAATTCCAGGGATGAGGGATTTTTTCTGGCTTTGAGAGAGTCGTCTCGTTACTGTACCTGGAAATCTCTCATTCCCGGAAGTACTCTGCACCAATTGTTCCGGCTAACGGAGATATCACTGTACCCGTTTTATTTTTTTACGTTTTCTTTAAGTAACGGTACTGTACTGTAATTATTGTATATACAGTCTATACAGTACTGTACTGTAAACATATGCAGTACTGGTCTATACATATTACAGTACAGTATTAAGTTTCTTTCTATGTAATAACAGGTAATGTAAGTACAGTATATACAGTATAGAAGTACTGTATAGTATTTTTATGATGGAATGAGAATTAGACCAACAACCCTTTTATTTTTTTACATTTTTGAAAAATTTTCTTTTTTTAATTAACTTACCTGGTATATGCATATACTGTACTGTATCACATTTTTTTTATACACAGTGCTGTACTGAGAAAACACTTACCTATCATGGTATGTCTTCCACATAAGATTTGAATTTGGGGTTCTTGTGGTACAGAGAGTGACTCCATGTGACTCACCAAAAACATGAATCCCATTCAGAGAACCAATCAAGGCATATGCTGGCTGAAACAAAATGTAATATTAAAAAACAGATGACAGTAAAAGTGAGAAAAAAATTTTGCTTTGTGCATGTTTTTATTTCTTTGTCTATACAGGAATTTAGATAAGCTCACACATTTTGTTATGGACTACTTTAGCATTCAATTACAAATCCACAAATCCTATACTGTATACATTATATACTGTATACATTAAGTCTTTGAACTAGGTAATGAAAATAAAATATTGAAATTTGGACCACAGGAACACATTCATAAATAATTAGTCCTCTTCACCATTGAACGGCCTGTTAGCTGATTGGGCGGTCAGTCACATCTCTGTTACGCATTGTTGGCAAGTACTGGGCATGCACCTGCTACAATGTTGGTCAAGTCTGGTCTTGAAAGAGCTCACACTCAGTGCCGTCACAACACTGGCAGATTGTTCCAAGAGTTCACAATTCTCACTCCGAAAAGGTTTGCCCTCACAGTTTTCTGGACTTGCGGCATCTTCAACCTTGAGCTGTGACCCGTTATGGGGCGGGTGTCTGCCAACACCAGGTAGGACACTCGACTGATTTGTGAATTCTGAGATGTTTATAAACTTCAATTAGGTCACCCCTTGCCTGTCTGTAGTATAAGCTAGGCAGCCTGAGCATATCTCTTTTTAACTATACCTCATCTATTCTATCAGCTACTTCCTCAGTCTTAGTTAGAATCTCTTTCCCAGCTTGCTCTAGTTTGGCAACCAACAAGGATCCAGCTTCCTCTATTTTCGTCACTAAGTTTCTCTTTCTCTTATGATCTGTAACAGCCTCCATACTTTACTGCATTCAGCATCATCCTAAATGCTGTTAAGCTCGGACCAACACAATCCACCCTAGACGTCCCCTTGCAGTAATTGTTTGTCAACAAACTTCCTGTGGGGTTTTAACCTGATTCCTTACGTCTATGCATGTCTTGTCGAAAAAAAAATCACGTGATGATATAGATACATCACTGGTCACGACTGGATGACGTCAGTCAATATTGCGCATGCGTGAAGCGCAGATACAGTAGGCTCTCACCAATAACGTTTAATAGGTGCCTGAAAAACACTGTTATTAGCAAAAACGTTATTTGTGTGACATTAAAATACATGTAAAAAGGGTTTATTGGTGCCGCCGCCACAAGAATTTCACCCATTTTTTCCCCCTGAAGCCCTCCTAACACTTTTTGTTAGCTGAAATAAAAAGAATTGTTATTCAATCATCAAAATAAAGAGTTTGAGTAATATAACACTTAGCTTGGGGGAGTTTTTGAGGTGCTTGGTGTAATGATTGTTCCATATCAGAGGGCCGCTAACACTTGCACTGTCTTTCATTCTACAAGCTAACCATTTCACAAGAAAATGCTCTATCACTAACAACCTGTTTCTATCGCCTTTATCATTCATGGTTCGCTTCGCATTTCCATCACTCCCGAAATATTTTTAGCCAGCGCAATACTCTTCTTGGTCTCCTCTAAGTTCCTCTTAATATTTCGCACTGTAGACTCAGGACAGTTCAATTTCCTCACTTTAAAAGTTCCCAGTCATTCAGGTGGCAAATCACTCCCTCCACCACCTCCCCTAGTCCCCACAGGCAAAAATGTGGAAGCCATTATTGATCACCGACCCTAACAACCACTGGTTATAGTGGCGAAAATCTCACACGTGGGCGCAGCGTTGTATTCCACTGAGCGTGTGTGAGAGTGAGGCGGAGTGGACAACTACGTCATCAACATGGCGGCAAACAAACGCTATCATTGATGCGCTTGGACGCTTCCCGCGAAATTTCCGTTATTCAAGAGAATCCAGAAGTCATTATCGAAAATGGGTATCTATTGTAACTTTCCGTTATTGTCGAAAACGTTATTGTGGAAGTCATTATTGGCGAGAGCCTACTGTAACATCTCCTCAGAGACGAACACTGGAAACTACGTCAAATCAATTAAATTTAATTGTGTCGCTATTAATCATTTCCGCCATGTATATATGGGGTTCAAACTGCTCAGAATAACGAGATCTAAATGTTTCAGTAGTTTATAACTTTTGGACATGCTACGTCCTAAAGTAAAATAATACAGGATTTTTAGCTCTATCTTCCTATATATAAATCAACTTAGTGTTCCATGGCTGTCTGTTACCAAAACAAGTTTTTTCTTTCGGTAGCTCGTTCCCAGGAGACTGATGTTTAAAGTATTACCCAAATTCCGGTCCGACTAATTACCCAAATGTACCCAAATGTAGCCGCAATGAAGTCAAATAATGGTCCTAAATGAATAAATCGGACTGCCAACCACTTCTCGACTAGTATTTGGTGTCACAAAGTCACAAAAAATTGGAAAACTTAATTTAAATTGAGTTAATAGATCGCGTGCTTGTACCGAGGGAGCGAGTAATTACCCAAATGAACCCAAATGTACCCAAATGTAGTCGCAATGAAGTCAAATGATGGTCCTACAAGAGTAAATCAGGCTGTGAATCACTTCTCGACTATTATTTGGTGTCATAAAGTCACAAAAAATTGGTAAAATGAATTTAATCTGAGTTGTGTTAGGTTAGGTACATGCACTCGATCTATTAACTCAGATTAAATTAAGTTTACCAATTTTTTGTGACTTTGTGACACCAAATACCAGTCGAGAAGTGATTGGCAGTCCGATTTATTCATGTAGGACCATTATTTGACTTCATTGCGGCTTTTTGGGTACATTTGGGTAATTACTCGCTCCCCCGGTACATGCACGCGATCTATTAACTCAGATTAAATTAAGTTTTCCAATTTTTTGTGACTTTGTGACACCAAATACTAGTCGAGAAGTGATTGGCAGTCCGATTTATTCATGTAGGACCATTATTTGACTTCATTGCGGCTACATTTGGGTAATTAGTCGGACCCCCCAAATTACCTCAAAGTTGCTGGTTGACATATAATAAGGTCTTACAGTATTACTAATATGTGTCGCATAATTAATCCTCTCGAGTCATTTATACAGTAAACTATCATCCACAGTTAAATACATGGTTACCATATATATACTACATGACATATTGCACTTTTATAACTACATAAGTACAACAAATATGTATAAAATATTTCTCCTACACAAGGAATGCATTAAAAGATGCCCTAGTGTGTATACCATTATCCCTGTACACTGGTAGGGATTAAAGGCCTGATACCCCCTGTCCCTGAGGTGCACCTGCATCCATTCCTGGATTCCACCTGTTGCAACGAGACCCTCCCTCCCTTCAGGGCTTCTTTCTTTATCCTCAACATTCGCTTGACTTAACACAATACATCACAATATCATTTTATTTTCGTGAAATAATGTTGTCATATACATACGTACCGGCTTGCCAGGTCCCGTGTGTCGCACAAACAGGGGAACTCCGCTTACAGCAGACAGTCCCACAAGCGTACACGACGCCATGTTGTGTTTACCTGGACTACAGTGTTGCCACAACCCAGCCAGCTTTCACCTCACTTTACCTCCCCTTTACCCTGCGTATCTGGCTACACTGCTTTAAATTCGACCCCTGTATTATAGTACATTAATATGTGTGGTTATCAACTTGATAACCACACAAGTAACATGAAAACATGAAGTTCCCAAGCGATTTAGTATAATTCACATCTTCAGGGGTGAGTACAGACTAAGGAATAGTTAATAACAAGGCATATATATACTGTATAGTACCAGGAGAGTAAAACATAAGAACCTAGGGACACCAGTTGGCTACCATTGTCCATATCCAAGTCATTAAGTAGTAACCCAGCCCTTTTGCCTGGCTATAAATCTTCTTAATGACAAAATTTGAATCCAATTTGTATTGTACATGCCATTACGCAAATTCATGTTAACAGATTCGGTATGTTTAATGAGACTAGATGCTATACTGTTTATTCTGACAATTGAATTACAAGATAAGATTGAGGAGGCATTGGCCCAGCCAAAATACAATGATTGCTATCTCCCATATGAATGAACACAGCATTGGATTCCTGGCCTGTCCTAACACTATATTTATGCTGTTTAAGTCTAGTTATAGTGTTGCAGTGCCAATTTTTAAGGTGCAGGAGCTGTCAAAATAATTTCCGTTTCCTAAACCGTTTCTATATTTTTTATACTCTTCACCACTGACCGCCTCGTTAGCCGTTTGGGCGATCGGTCACGTCTCTGTTTCGCACTGTTGGCAAGTACTGGGCATGCACCGGCTCCTGAATGTGCCTGAACCTGCTCCAGTGTTCAGTGGCGCACGCAGGGGGGTTTCCTGGTTGCCCGGAAACCCCCCCTCCAGGTACTGCATGGTGCGGCCAACCCATACCTTTAGTAACACGAAGGTTGGGTCAGCTTACCTGACCTCACCCCACGCCACGGTAACTTCCACTACCTCTGCCATTCCCATGCACCTGAATGCACTTAATATACAGCACTGCCAGACAGTGTGAAATATTGAGATTTAATGTTTTTTTTTTTCATTTTCTCATCTACATTGTACATTTTCTATAGATTTTACACATTCAGTACAGTAATAACCATATTATATACTCTATATTTAGTGCAGTAAATTCATGTATTTTAAAATTGTGTAAATAAAATATTTAAAAAAAATTATGACATCTATTATCCTGTAATATAAGTCTATATGCAAAGATTAGGATGCTGAATTACACCAGACTTCTCAGTAATTTGGAAACCCCCCCTACTCAATTTCTGGGTGCGCCCCTGAGTATTGGTCAAGTCTTGTCTTAAAAGAGCTCACACTCGGTGCCATCACAACACTTTCAGGTAGATTGTTCCAAGAGTTCGCAAATCTCACTCCGAAAAAGTTTGGCCTCATAGTTTTCTGGACTTGCGGCGTCTTCAATCTTGAGCTGTGACCCCTTGTGGGGCGAGCGTCCGCCAGATCCATGTAAGGACGCTGGACTGAGTAGTGCCCCCTGAGATGCTTATACACCTCAATTAGGTCACCGGTTATCCCTTGCCCGTCTGTAGTATAAGCTAGGCAAGTTCAGGCGCTCCAATCTCTCAGTTGATATATATATATATATATATATATATATATATATATATATATATATATATATATATATATATATATATATATTTATCAAGATTTATCTTATCCACGTTTTCATTGTGGATTTACATGATATATATATATATATATATATATATATATATATATATATATATATATATATATATATATATATATAATATTTGATCTAGTAACGGGCTGTTTGGGTTCACACTCAGGATGGGATGGAGAAAAGAAAGTCACAATGTTGTAGTGGACGTCTCCTCTACAAACTAACTGCGTAGATGCACACCACCTGCTATCACATTCCAATGTGCCCCCTTCCCTAGCAACCAACCAGATGTTACCGTATCTTAGCAACGGAACTAGTCACCGGCTACTTCTCGGGTTTTCCCACCATGACTCATAGCGGCTGCTGCGGGGTATATAAGCTCTGTCTCTCCATTGAGATTCAGTCTGACCAATCTTCTTGAACAAGCAACACCTCCTCCTCTGCCGCTGCCTGGCGACCCTCGCCTCTCCTCCGCCTGCCTGGCGGTCCTCGCTCCCGCCAGCGAGCATGTCCTTCTCTGAGCTTCCTCACCAACCAACTCTCATTCTGCCCATTTTCCTGAACAAGCAACATCTCCTCCAGCAAGCTCCACGCTGTTAACATTTCATTCAACCAGGAGGCCAGCAACAGGCAACATCTTCTCTAACGAAGCTCCTGCACATCTACCTCCTTCAACAAGCTACTCACCGCACGTCTCTACCAAGCAGCCCCTCACCACACAGCACCTCCAGCACCAGACTGTCTATCATATAACTTATATATATTATATAAGAAAACCACATTAGAGTTTCCTTCCATCCTGAGTGCTAGACGACTTTAATATCTCGATACCCCTACAATGGTGACTCCCGGAGATTAGCACTCACACAGGATGGAGGAGACACTGATCACGCTCCCAGTCTTCAAGCAGACACCGGCTCCTCTTCCTGCCCCACGCACCACATCCTATGACCCCAGCACACCCGTCCTGCCTCAGACGCCGACCCAGCAGTACCTGCCGTGAGGGAAGCACACAACATCCATCGCCTCCACACCCCCTCTTTTCTCCCTCAGGTACTCCCTGCTAATGTCGTGGACCCAGCTGCTGTCACGAGCCCTAATCCGCTTCTGCTGACCCAGCCCCTGCTCCTGATCCAGGCCCACACACACCCCAGCAGGCGCATCTGACGACCCTGTACCTGTCGTGAGGGAAGAACAACATTCATCGCCTCCACACACCCTTTTTCTCCCTTCTCCTACAGATCGTGTGTATCTAGACAGCTGTATTTCAGCGATCGGCTCATCACGCCATCGCCGTTGTCTCACATGAGGCATGCACCGCCCGGTCTTCCTCACATGTGCTAAGCAACTCTACAATCAACAAGTCTCCTACACCGCCTGGAGGGGAGGGGGAGTATTGTAGTGGACGTCTCCTCTACAAACTAACTGCGTAGATGCACACCACCTGCTATCACATTCCAATGTGCCCCCTTCCCTAGCAACCAACCAGATGTTACCGTATCTTAGCAACGGAACTAGTCACCGGCTACTTCTCGGGTTTTCCCACCATGACTCATAGCGGCTGCTGCGGGGTATATAAGCTCTGTCTCTCCATTGAGATTCAGTCTGACCAATCTTCTTGAACAAGCAACACCTCCTCCTCTGCCGCTGCCTGGCGACCCTCGCCTCTCCTCCGCCTGCCTGGCAGTCCTCGCTCCCGCCAGCGAGCATGTCCTTCTCTGAGCTTCCTCACCAACCAACTCTCATTCTGCCCATTTTCCTGAACAAGCAACATCTCCTCCAGCAAGCTCCACGCTGTTAACATTTCATTCAACCAGGAGGCCAGCAACAGGCAACATCTTCCCTAACGAAGCTCCTGCACATCTACCTCCTTCAACAAGCTACTCACCGCACGTCTCTACCAAGCAGCCCCTCACCACACAGCACCTCCAGCACCAGACTGTCTATCATATAACTTATATATATTATATAAGAAAACCACATTAGAGTTTCCTTCCATCCTGAGTGCTAGACGACTTTAATATCTCGATACCCCTACAATGTGCTCTCTGTATACATGTTGTATTGGATGTACAATGCAGCTTGGTGCTGGGAAGTGGCAGCGTGGTTACAAGCGTGATGAAGAGAGAGCTGGTTGGTGAGGGTGCTCAGAGGAGGACAGCTTGTGGGTCGCCATGCTTGCCGGCGGGAGCGAGGGCCGCCAGGCAGCGGCGGAGGAGGTGGTGTAGCTTGCTGCTGCTGTAGCTAGAAGAAGAGAGAGCTGGATGGTGAGGGTGCTCAGAGGAGGACAGCTTGTGGGTCGCCATGCTCGCCGGCGGGAGCGAGGGCCACCAGGCAGCGGCGGAGGAGGTGGTGTAGCTTGCTGTGGCTGTAGCTAGAAGAAGAGAGAGGTCACCACGAGGTCAGGTCTGAAATAGCGGAGGTAGGCGTGGCTTAGTAGTTGACCTCCGTCATGTAGGGCGGCGCTGGTTGACCTAGACCACGAGGCATACACTGGGGAATTCGCGGGGTCGGCTACTCAGCGACAAACAGCGTTTGTAGGGGAGAAATCCACTACAATACTCCCCCTTCCCTCCAGGCGGTGTAGGAGACTTGTTGTCTGCAGGGTTGCATGGCCAGGGCCGGCGCTACCCACTAGGCGAACTAGGCGATCGCCTAGGGCGCCAACATCTGGGGGCGCCACAAAGTCAGGGCAAACTTGGATAAAATTAAAAATGAAGGGAAAACTGTGGTGGACACTGTGGTGGAGCCGTGGAGGGTCGGAGGGAGGCGAGGGTAGGTAGACGGTAGCCGACTGTGTTTTCTTTTTTAATATTATTCGTTAACCCCCCGGAGGGACTAACCCGGGTCCTTATCTTTGGCGGCCTGGAGAACTGTCGAGCAGTGACCTGAAGGCTGACATCTGAGGAACCTGTAGGGGTATCGAGATATTAATGTTGTCTAGCACTCAGGATGGAAGGAAACTCTAATGTGGTTTTCTTGTATAATATATAAGTTATATGATAGACAGTCTGGTGCTGGAGGTGCTGTGTGGTGAGGGGCTGCTTGGTAGAGACGTGCGGTGAGTAGCGTGTTGAAGGAGGTAGATGTGCAGGAGCTTCGTTAGAGAAGATGTTGCCTGTTGCTGGCCTCCTGGTTGAATGAATGCTGGACAGCGTGGAGCTTGCTGGAGTAGGTGTTGCGTGTTCAAGAAGAATGGCCAGAATAAATCTCAATGGAGAGACAGAGCTTATATACCCAGCAGCCGCGAGTCCTCTATGAGTCATGTTGGGAAAACCCGAGAAAGTCGCCGGTCTCTGGTTCCGTTGCTAGGTTACCGTATCATCTGGTGTCGCCGCT